CATCAAATCATCACTCATAGGTCCCCAATTAGACAAGCTCTAGACCCCCAATTACCACTGATTTTTCTTGATTTTTCATGCTTAATTGATAAAAATCATTCCAATAACGAGTTTAGGGACTAAAGACCTTACCCCAGTGAACTCCTCTAAAAATCTCTCTTGAAAAGTGCTTCCCAAGCTTCTTCCCGTTTTAAAAAAGATGAAAATAGGCTAAATTTCGCGAAGGCAAGAATTTATATGTTCTGCCCAGCGATTTCCGCATCTGCGGTCCCGCTTATGCGGAGCCAAGGTCGCATCTGCGACTTTTCATTAAAGGGCCAGCTTCCGCATCTGCGACTCCCAACCCGCAGATGCGGTACCGCTTCTGCGGTATTACCACCGCTTCTGCGGTTCCTGAGAAAATGACCAAATTCTGCTTTTGCAGCCACTGAGCCGCTTCTGCGGCGACGCACCTGCGGAACCCAAAACGCAGGTGCAGTTATGACAGAACCAACAGCTGAAGCTGCAACTCTAACTCCAAAATCTTTCTGTCAACCATCTGAATTCATCCTGAGGCCTCCGGGACCTCAACCAAAGGCACCAACAAGTCACAAACCACTATCTAAACTTGTACCAATCTTTAAAACAACTAAAACAACATCGAAATCTCGAATTAACCATGGATTTAAGCCTAAGAACTCCAAATTTATCAAAATACGCTTTCGATCAAAAAGTCTATCAAACCTTGTCCGAATGACCTGAAATTTTGCACACACGTCACATTTAACACTACGGAGCTACTCCAATGTCCGAAATTCTATTTCGACCCACGGATCAAAATCTTACTATCGGACCAGAAACTTCAAAAATTCAGCTTTCAACATTTGAAGCCTCAATTAGGTACGGACCTCCAAACACAATCCGAACACGCCCCTAAGACCGAAATCACCTAACGGAGCTAATGAAACCATCGAATTTTCATTCCAAGGCCGTCTTCACACTGTTCCGACTAAGGTTAACTTTCCAACATTTAAGCTCTTATTTAGGGACTAAGTGTCCCAAAACTCTCCGAAATTCAAAACCGAACATCCCGGCAAATTAAAATAGCAGAAATAAACTCGGGGAAAGCAGTTAATATGGGATCGGGGTGTAAATTCTTAAGACGACCGGCCGGGTCGTCACATTTACTGATTTCTGCTTTCCATTATTAGCTTTATACTTCTATATTGTACCAGTTATTTTGTTTAGTGAGTGTCTTGACTTGTACCTCGTCATTACTCTACCGAGGTTAGTCTTGATACTTACTGGATACCGACTGTGCTGTACTCATACTACACTTCTGCACATTTTTGTGCAGAACCAGGTATTGGAGATATCAGACTCGGTCAGAGTTAGCTTGTTGATCACGAGGATTCAAGGTAGAGCTGCTTGGTCGTCGCAGTCCTTTGGAGTCCTTTCCTTATATTGTACTGTCAGTTTGTCACTTGAATAGTATTGTATTTAGATCCTTGAGATCTTTCCCTGTATTTAACTATAGTTCCCGGAGGTTGTTATGTTTATTGCCACATAGGTTCGCTCTTGTTTCGGTATTCATATTAAACTCTGTTTTAAATTATCATTGTTAAAACTGGCCTAACTGTTATAGTAATCGGCTTACCTAGTCTTAGAGACTATGTGTCATCATGACATCCTACGGAGGGAGTTTGGGGTCGTGACACTCCTCCTCCTAATATTAGAAATAATGAATCATCAATAAACTTAGCATATAATTGGTGATGTCATTAAAGTAGAATCTCATTGTTGAATGAGGTTATAGACTTATGTTTTTCTTTTCTTTTGAATTATATTTACTGAAATTATGTTGAAACTTATTTTATGTTATGTTATAATTTTACATAAGAGTATTATATTTTTTTTTTTGAATTTTGAATTTATGTTTATTTTCGCTTCCATTTTATTTGCTTTAGTAGTATTCACTTATTAATTCAGATTGCATACCATTCGTGTTTCAATTAAAAATTGGTAGATTATGTTCGTAAAATATTTGAGTAATCTTATGGCATTATATTTATAAATATTAATCATTTTACCAAGCATGCAGTCCATGATGTTCTTACAAATATGTACTTTTAGTTCTTTAAATTTATTAAAGTAAAATATTATTAATTTAAAAAATATATACCAATTATTTTACAATATTAGTTCCAAATATATAATTAATAATTAATATATTTTCGAGAAACAATATCTATATTAAATGTCAAATTTAATATTATTTATAAAAGCAAATATTTTCTAAATCTTAACTTTTAATAATTAATTTTGATATTCAAAATTTGATCTAACTGTGTAATTATACGTGTGCAACCAAATAATACACTTGTAATTATATTGTAATTATATTATGACAAACAAACATGTCGTCGTAATTACAATACTATGTAATTACTAGGCTGTGTAATAACTACCATAGTAATTACACCAATTTCAATTACCAGATCGCTTTCCGAACAGTCCGTTAATTTATTTCACAATAATGAAAAGAAAGGATTTTCTTCCTAAAAGTCTTGTGGCCGTAAAGAGTATGCGATAAAGGATAAAATAAAAAATTTAGTGCCATAAATTTTAATGATACTTTTGGTATGAGCTAAAAAGTATTTCTTTATTTTTAAAATTCTGTACTTAATTAAATACGCTCACATTAAAATAAATAAAATATAAAACAACATACCTAAACTGAGATATAAATTTCACCAATATTTTTTATAACAAAAATGAAAAAGAAAACACTTGATAAATAATGATACACAATTTTATACACAAATTTGTCCTGATCGATCCAACAAAACAATCTACTAAGAGCTAGTTTGACCAAGTTTGTGGGAGGTAAAAAATACCTTTTTTTGGTTAAAAAAATACTCTCTCTCTTTTGTTAAAGTTTGAGGTGTTTGGCGGAGGCGGAGAAGTGCTCTTGAACAGAAGCATAAGTAATTTTTTTTTTTGAAAAAAAGCTACAAATTCTAACTTCTTCCGGGAAGCAGAAACAAAAAATTATTTTTTTCAAGATAAAAATATCTTTACCGTAAATTTATATTTTTCGAGTTATCCCTCATTATTTATTTTTTCCTTTTTGTTCTACCATCCCTTTCTTCCTTTTATTTTCTTCGTATTTTTAATTTCCTTCTTCTATTCCTCTTTGGGATAGTCTCTCAACAATAAATAAATTTATATATATATATAGTGATTTATTGATTATATATTTAATTTATATTGAATAATATATTGTGATATATTCATATCATCATTTAAATAATAAATAATATCGCATACCTATTTTTTGTTTTGGATAACTGTAATTTTTACATTATTTAATATATTTAATATATATTTTTACTTTATATATATATATATATATATATATTTCTTCTTCTTCTTAATTTGACACTCAAAAATACTTTTTGGAAAAATTTATTGAGCATGCTTATCAAATCTTGTAAATATAATTTCAAATGAATTGGCAAAATATAAACTATTATTTCCCAAAAGTATTTTTTTCAAAAAGCATTTATAAATAAAAATATTTTTTACCAAACGGCCTTAACAACTTGTTTGGATGGCCGTTACGTATTGTATTGCATCGTATTGTTACTTTAAATACGATGTTTATTTTGGTTGTTACTTAAATTTGTTTTGGTTGTTACTTAAATTAAATTGTATCGTATTGCTAAATCTGTCGTTACGTAACAACGAAATGTGCTACTTTATGTAACGACCGATTTGGTGTGGTTGCGTCGTTATCTTGTCTTTTTCTCTCATCTCACCCTTCACTCTTATTAAATAATTTTATTTTATCATTTACCCTACCTTTTTATATAGAAAGAATTACAAGAAAATACACATGACTTCACACCATAACAAAAAATGGCCCATGTTTTGAAGTTTTATCCGACCTAGCCCATATTGTACATATTTTGAAAGCACTAGCAAATTCAAAATATGTGTTCTTAAAACCATTGCTTCTAAAAGCTATGAAATAAAATATGTGTTCTCACAACCATTGCTTTCACTCTCTCTTTTTCTCACATCTTCTACATATGCTTCAAGGGGCTGTATATTTTCTGCTTCTCCTTTTGTGTCACCTGGTTGCAATGTAAGAAAATTGAAGAGTAGAAATCCACCATTGAAGACCATTGAAAGCTTTTGCTTTCGAAAATGAGTTTTTTTCGAGTTTGTTAGCTTTTTGGATTGGGTATTGTTCCAATTGATTGAAAATATCAAAATGAGTACAAAATTTAAATTTGAAGTGATTTGGAGTAGATTTGAACAAGATTTGAGTTAAATTTCAGAAAAGACGCAAGGAAGAAGACGAAGTCAGTTTTTTGTAATTATGTATAATCTTGTATAACAGTGTATGCGAGTGTATAAATACATCTTATACACTAGTATACACTTTTTATACACATTTATGCAAGTGTCTGTAGATGAACTTCTTCTATGATTTTCAGTTGCAATTTTTGTTCAAACCCAGTCCAAATCTCCATTAAATGACTTCAAAATTTATATACAACATTTTTATACTATTTCTAACAAGTCTAAATAACACCCACTCCAAATTTCTCACAAAATCAAATTCAGAATTTAAACCCACATATTTAAGCTTGTTAAAAATATGTTGAACTAATATTTAAGTCACAATTACTGTTTCGAAAATTAAATTATATTTGGGTTAGTTGGTTGTAAATTGAAATATGGGCTAAACAATTGAAAAGTATGAAGCCCAGTTGTTCTAATGTGAAATTTTTCCTTTTATATAGTAAATTTACCCGATATCATAATTTTTCTTTATAATATTACAAATTTATTGCTAGTGATGATATCATAAAAGAACAGCAAACAATACATACATGCATTGTGAAACGATGGATGTGTAACAACCATCCAAACAAGGTGTAAGACTTATTAATGATACTTGACACAAAAATGTGCATTCATTTCCATTACTCCTTTACCACTTGTGAGATCCCCAAATTAATGAAAGAAGACACCTCCCCTGTAATATTCATGATTCCCATGTGAAAATTACAACAGTAAGTGGAGTGAAAGCAGCCGCCGATACAAATCTTTTTCCCCAGAATACTACCGACGTGATGAAACCTCCTCTCCACATGGCTCTATTTTCCTTAAAACTATTCCTTTTTTGATACATACATATATATATATATATATATATATATATATATTCTGCCACCCAATGACAGTCCAGAGGTAACCAAATTCCCTCTTCATTCTCACAAATCACCATTATAAAACGTGGACTCTTCCCGAGTCTCAGTCTTTTCAAAAACCATAACACATCAGATTCTCTTCTCCAAACCCAAATCGAAATTCTTTCTTGAATTCCGCCTATATAATTGGATCAATGTCGAAGAATATATTAGTGACAGGTGGAGCTGGGTACATTGGGAGTCACACGGTGTTACAATTACTGCTGGGTGGTTACAAGACAGTGGTGGTTGATAATTTGGATAATTCTTCTGCTATTGCTATTAAAAGGGTCCAAGAACTTGCGGGTCAATTTGGCCCTAATCTCTCATTTTACAATGTAGGTTCCATTTCCCTCTCTAATCGTGTGTTTTGTTGAAAATGTGGAGTCTCATATATCTGGGTATAAAGATTGGATTTTTATTTGGTTTGGGTTGAATCTTTTGATTTGATTTAATGTTGCATCTGTGTTTTTATCAAGTGTAATGATTTATGGTTTATCATGTTTATTGCTTCTTCCAATGTTAGATGTGTATATTTGTGTACTTCTATTAGACAAATAGCTAACAATGCAAAAGCTTAAAGTAGAAATTAAATTCAGAATCTATTGAATTTGGTAAATTTGGGGAAATTCTCCGCTCGAAGGTGTTAAGTTTGTAGTCTTTGAGGACAATGAAGTGGGACGAGAACCATGAGGTCTTAGGTTCAAATCTCAGGGAGGCAGAAAAAATACTAGGTGATTTCTATCCATATTCCTAAGTGTTGGCGGGCAGAGTTACCCGATACTGTGCTGGTGGGAGGTAGCGGAATAGTTGAGGTGCGCTCAAGCTCGCCGGGCGGCACCGTCATCCAAAAAAAAATTAAGTTTGTAGTCTTTGTGTTAATTTTTGTTTTAAACGTTGTTACACAGTATTTTGTATGTTTTCAAGCATCAAGTACTTGATTGTTGTTTCATTTCTTGCATTTATGTTCCTGATTTCTATACGTCTGTTTTAAACTGCAGATAGATCTGCGAGACAAGCCTGCAGTTGAAAAGCTTTTCGAGTCTAACAAGTAAGTTATACCAATGTTAGTTGCAAGGGTTATTATACTTTAGTTCTGAACTTTTCTTGTCAATCTTCTTCTTTGTTGATCACCATTCCGTTGTTATTCTAGCCAATGTTGTTTTTATCTATGGCACAGTAAGCTGAAAATTTGATAAACATCTTCATGAATTATATGCTGTTGACCGGAAAATATGCTCTTGTCTAGCACTTTCCAGAATGATGGTTGTAGTGTTTATATTTGTTTCTCAGCTCCCTTGCTTTACTTTATTTTTTTAGTTCAACATCAGTTTCATATGTAATGCAGGTTCGATGCTGTTATCCATTTTGCTGGACTAAAAGCAGTGGGTGAAAGTTGCCAGAAACCTTTGATGTACTACAACAACAATATTACAGGTACAATTACCCTGCTGGAAGTCATGGCAACGCGTGGATGCAAAAATGTATTTCTCGATACTCTTTTGATTATCTTAATAACACATCGTTCTCTCTTGCAAATTATTGTATTGACTGGTTTCTGTCTTCAACTATTCAGCTTGTGTTCTCATCATCATCTACTGTCTATGGCTGGCCAAAAGAGGTTCCTTGTACTGAGGAATCTCCCATAAGTGCTGCAAATCCTTATGGAAGGACAAAGGTACATTTTGAGTTGTCTCATCTGGTCATTTCAGTGCTCAGCTGATTTTATGAAGTGAATATTTGTGATACTAAAATGCAAGCGCATTTCGTTGGCTGCCTCTCCACTGCAGCTGCTGAGCAGCCAAGTACCTTCACTTGTCCTATTCTTTTAAAGGAGAGAGGGGTGTGAGGAGGAGTCTGTGTTCTTTATTTTCCTGAATATCAGAATTCTGGTTGTGTGTATGCCTTGTGTTTATACTCAAAGCTAAGTAGACTTAATTTTCAGCTCTTCACTGAAGAAATTTGCCGTGATGTCTACCATTCTGACCATGAATGGAAAGTCATATTGTTGCGGTACTTCAATCCTATTGGTGCACATCCAAGTGGTTATATTGGTGACGATCCACGTGGAATTCCAAACAACCTTATGCCCTTTGTTCAACAAATTGCTGTTGGCAGGAGACCAGCACTGACAGTTTATGGAACTGATTATCCAACAAAGGATGGTACAGCGGTATGGTCTACTTCTGATAGTACTATTATGTGATGATTTTTGTTCCAGATTACCAGAAATTGTTTGACATGTGTTCTAGATTATCAGAAATTAGCTCACTCAAATTTGGAAATCCTTGTTTAGCTACATGTAACTTGAACATGTGATTGATCATGTGCTGATATTTTCAGGTGCGTGATTACATTCATGTTGTTGATTTAGCAGATGGCCATATTGCTGCCTTGCAGAAGCTGTTTGATCCTTCGACAGGTGAATACTTGCTATTTCTTATGATTGTTACTTCTCTGTTTAAGTTATCTGGTGCTAATTATTCCAGCAGCCTCAGAGTCCACTACCACAAAGCTCTCTTACCTTTCTTTCTTGAAGACTGTTTGCCCTGAAACATATTTTTCAATTCTGCTATTGGATTCTTGTTCTTTCAGTGGCAAAGCTGTACTTTTCTATATCGTTTTTCCTCCTCGTGTTTCTTGTGACATGGTTGAACATGACAGTGTCACCAATATCCCAGACAAATAGTATTATGTGAGAAGCATCAACATCAACTTTTGATCATGGTGTGATCATATTATTCTGCTATGCTATTTCTGTTTAACTAAATCATGTTAGTTCTAGCTTGGCTTGTCTTTGCATTTCTAAAGCAATATCATTTGGATATTTTTGGTGACACATTTATTCTTGTTGGATGATAAAGCATTAGTGACCTATCTAATAAAGTGCCTAGGGGGCAAAGGTTTCTCTGCTTGGTGTTGATTCTAACTTTGATTTTGCTAAAACATTTCAGGCTGTGAAGTTTACAACCTGGGAACTGGGAAAGGATCATCAGTCTTGGAAGTGGTGTCAGCATTTGAGAAGGCATCAGGAAAGGTAGTGTACTTTTGGAATCAGTTCGGTTAATCCTTGGGCATCTCTGTTGGAATACCCAGTTCAGTGAGTTAAACTTTTATAAATGGAAAAAGAGACATAAATCACACATTCGAGGAAGAGCATTTGCCTTATTTGCTTTTTAAATAAAGGGCCTTGTATTTTTCTTCTTAATTCGTATTAGAATGAAATAGACTGGTTGAGTGCATATTGATAATTATTTAAAGTTAAAGCCTCTATAGTGGAATGCCTTTTGTTTAAATTTCTGATCTGAGACGTATGCCTGCACATTTGAAAGAGTTCTAGAGTTGCTGCCAGTTCTTCTCACCTGGGAGGAAATTGAACACGTCTCCTATAATTTGAAACGCTCTATTTGGTCCGCACATAATTCCAGCTCTACTTAAGCTGCTCACTTATTGATAGTTATGTTTCTGACCTTTCACTTTGTGTGGAAATGCTTTGCTAACTGTGCAACATCCTAGTAGTAATGGTAGCACTAATTAGTGTTCCTGGTACACTAATTACCTCTTATTCTGCTTTTCTAGAAAATTCCACTGGTGATGTCTGGTCGACGGCCTGGGGATGCTGAAATAGTATATGCAGCAACAAAGAAAGCAGAACGAGAATTGAATTGGAGGTAACTGATATTTACAAATATATCAATCTGTTTACCTGGCTGCATACTTCAATTGTCTGGTCGCTGATTAATCTAATTAATTACTTAACTGCTAGTTGACGGCAGTGGCGGAGCCACATTCAACCAATCGACACCCCTTCGCCGAAAAATTACATTGTATTGCTAGATAAATTTTCTGTTTTATGTATATTTACTATATGTCGACTCCCCTAAACTTTTCGGTGTATCTATTTTTTTTTTATATTTTGACTTCCCTTAGTGAAAATTCTGACTCCGCCACTGGTTGACGGGGCAACTCTTGATAGTGCCCCTCAGCTAGAACTTCTGTTCCCCCTTTCCATATAATCTACTTTTGATTTGTGTTGTACTAAATGTTTGGCTTATTTTTCAGGGCAAAGTATGGCATTGATGAGATGTGCCGCGATCAGTGGAACTGGGCCAGTAAAAACCCCTATGGCTATGAAGGATCTGAAGAGTCAAACTAACAGTGCAGTATACTCCTTTAACTGCAATTCTTTTTCATGGTCACATCATTCCACCTGTTCGTTCGTTTATCCATACTGCTAATCACCGACGTGTAGACCATCAATCTTTTTTTTTTTCTTGCAAGGATTCCACGTATATTACTAGGATTACAGAATGGTCGGAACATTTAAATTTTTTTCTAACTGGAGTTCCGAAGCAAGTGGTGGAACTTTTTCCGCCGTGAAGAAACAGGGATAGTTGATGAATAATAGCTCATTTAGCTTAAACCTATAGTGGTATTTTATTCGTTCTTTTATTCTTTTGTAACTAGTAGCATTACAACCATATTGTTTAAAGAAACTATTTATTTTTCTTGCTTCAATTATTATGCTGGTCCACTGTGTAACCCTGTTAAGTTAAGCAATTTGTTGGCAGTTATGTCTTCTGTTTAGTGGTTGGAAAGTGTATTATGCTCAAGGATGAACATGCCTACAACTCACAGTTGATGTCAGCTGACTGGTTTAGAGTATCCATTATAATATCTTGTAACCCCATGTGCAGTTGTAGTTTATCTGTCACCAGTAAGTACAACATTCGACCACCCATTTCATAATCATGTCTGTGCCAATGTTTGGTTTTGTTCAACTTAAGTAAAAGGAGTTGTATCAGGCCCCATGTATTAGACTTCTTGTGCATCCCAATTCCCAAAAGGTGCTGCCCTCCTAGGCGTGCAACACGAAGTAATTCGAGTCAATTCACATTAGACTAACGATGATTAATTATATTCTTAGAGGTATAAAATACAACTCCATGAATGAGCAAACTAAAGGCTGCATTCATTATAAAGATCTTTGGAGAAATCGCTAAAAAAGATTGAACATGTGGGAGGATTTGAACAAATTTTGCTTTACTTTAGGGTCTATTGGCAAAGGAAACTCGAGAATTAAAGATTTTGTTCTACTGTCACCAGTGCAAACCAATAAATAATCAAATGTAGAAAGGGGATCCTAAATGTATTTGATGGCTTAATGTATCACTTGCATGATTTAAGGATTCCATGGATCACATTGTTACATGAGGACCAAATGAAGAGTCTAAGGATGATTTGGGGGAAGTGCACGGTTAGTCACTAATAACACATGTATTTACTTTTAAGTTACTGTTTAAAATGTCTTTAGTCTTTAGCCACTGCTTTAATAAACTTTAGTTGCCCGGACGAAAATACCCTTCTGCTCATGTCCTTAACTTTTGTACTTAACTTCAGGACATCAGGACTATATGTTCTTAACTTTTGAACTTGGAACTCTAAGTTCAGGACTTCAGGATTACATGTCCTTAACTTTTGAACTTGGAACTCTAAGTTCAGGACTTCAGGATTACATGTCCTTAACTTTTGAACTTGGAACTCAAACTTCAGGACCAAGCGTCCTTAATTTTTGAACTTGTAAGTCAAAGGTAAGGACCTATTGCTTGTCCTTAACTTTTGAACTTGTAACTGTAAGTTAAGGACTGCTTATCTTTAACTTTTGAACTTGTAACTGTAAGTTAAGGATTGCATGTCCTTAACTTTTGAACTTGGAAATCAAAGTTAAGGACCTATTTTCCTTAACTTTTGAACTTGTAACTGTAAGTTAATGACTGCCCGTCCTTAACTTTTGAACTTGTAACTATAAGTTAAGGACTACCTGTCCTTAACTTTAGAACTTGTAACTGTAAGTTAAGGACTACTTGTCCTTAACTTTTGAACTTGTGTCCTTAACTATTGAACTTAACTTCAGGACTATATGTCCTTAACTTTTGAACTTGAAACTCTAAGTTCAGGACTTCAGGACTACATGTCCTTAACTTTTGAATTTAACTTTAGGACTTCATGTCCTTAACACAATTATCTTTGTCCTCAATTTTTTTGGCTTTTTACCATATTTTTCCTAATTATCTGTTGTTTAAGAAAATCTAAAAGTCACTTCTTTTAGAAAACCAAAAGTCACGTCCTCCCACGTCTATGATTATTATGAGTGAATGGTTTACCAGACAATTCAACTCCTGAAAGCAGACACAAAAGAAAATGACAGGCTTATAAAATTTATATGATTAATGCATTTCGTTTCTTCTGTTCAAAATTGGATTTCATATATGAAAATAATGGGAACACTCATACGAACCCCAGAACGCCATTGCAAAAGGAGAAGTGGAGCTGTAAGGAATGAATCTGAAAATGGCGTATTTTCGTTTGGGAAGGAAAGGGTAATACTGCCTTTTTATATTAATTTTAATAGACTGGTGACTACTTTTGCTCAGCATTAAAAATGCTGGATAAAAAGTAAATACCACTTTAAAAAATGGCTACCCCACACAATTTTTACGGATGATTTCGATCACTTTGTTGATTCAGAAGGCAAAGTAATAGCCCCACTGGGCGGGGTTATTAGAAGCAGATCAGGCCTCTTGCCCTTATCTAGTTGTCACGGGTTGATTTTCTGTCCACCAAAACCAGCCTGCGCGCCAGCCCAACCTCATACCCAACTTCAGCCTTCCCATCACTTAGCTAAAATTTCAGCAACTTTGGACTTAGAATATTTTTAGGCAATTTTCAACATAGTAAGATTTAAGTAAAGACAACGGAATTAAACAAGAACACAAGGCACAATATACAAGGAACTCTTTTCCCAACTTTGTATTTAGCTCGAGCATATAAAGTAACTCAAACTCGAAGTACAATGCCATGTACAAAAAATCACTCTTGACCTTCAGATTTTCTCACAAAGGCTACTTTTATCCTTAGGCATTTTCACTCGTGAAAACAGACTTAGGAAAACAGACCACATGTATTTACAAGCATAAGGGTGCTGCACAACTATAGATCATGTGAAAGCCCTTTGCCTTTACACTTGTCGCTCTTGGACTGAGACACTTGTCCCACACAACCCACTATTTTTGCATAATGTAGTTGACATCCCCCAACAACTAGGATCATGCTGAGATAATGGAAATAAGGCTCCAAAAACGTTCTGGTAACCACCTGCCAGATTTGAACAAAAGCCAACTTCTGCCCATGTGCACCATATGTACCTTGTAACCGCCATTAACTTTGTCAAAGCTGAAGCATTGTCACACCCCAACCTTGTGAGATGTGGCTGGCACCCGATGCCCGAAGGCCCGAGCGAACCA